AAGAGCTGAAGAAGTCACTAGCTGAACTTTTGTGGGAAAACCTTCCAGAAAACTGATGAAGACTATTTCAGTCAGAACATTTTGTTTCTTTACAGGATTTGAAAAAATAAATTGGAAGTTGGAAAGAGATTATGGGACAGGTTAGATTAATCAGTTTTATGAGCCGTTTGCATCACAACAACCTACCAAATGTTTACAGGATGTTAAATCTGCTTTCATTCAAGTTGAATGCTTTTTACTTGAATGATACAGTCTTTCTGAAGAATAAAAAAAAAATAAGTTGGTGAAATTAGTTTTTTTTAAAACAGCAATGTTTTACTGCTGTTACGCAGTCTACAAGCTCAGATTCTGCTCTAGTTCCCTTCTGGATTCTGTCAATGTGTCTTAGTGTAACTCCAGAGCCAGCTCGCTCCTGCCAGCTCCTGAGCCTCAAGGAGGATCAAAAGGGATTTTTTTCCAAGATACTGCTTGTAGTGATCCCTTGAATATCCCAGTGGAGAGGTAGAGCAGAAAAGGACAGGAGATCTCTGTCCTCATAAACAAGGTTGGGGACCTCATCTGGGACCCAAGAGGTCTTCAGGAAGCACAGGCTCTGTCTCAGTGTTTGCCTTTACCTTCCCTTGGTTCCTTGTCAAAGGAAGTTCCTTTGGGCTTCTCTGGTGTAAAATGAGCACAGATCCCTAAGGAGAGTCATGCCTGGAAACAGCAATAAAGCCTTAGCAGCAGCATCTTTTCAACTTACTCACCTGGGTGGTGGTGAAGTTATAAATCACATCCTTTCTGCTACTTCTTCTTGGTTCCTGGGCATCCCAAAAGTTACGCCGTTTCCCTCCTGTCCCTGCTCTGGTCATTCATCAGTGAACTGCAGTGGAGTGGTAGAGGGGCTGTGAATGGTTTTGATTTGTATCCCAAATCTTTCTTAAGGAGCATCTCCCATTTTGGAATGGCTTTTTGTTGTGCATGAATGGGGATTTAGAGGCTTAATTCTGTGGCTATTTTACAAGACAAAAGGACAAGTAGTCTTAGGCCATAGTTTTCATGTATTGCCTGATACTGAGGCTAAATTCAATCCTGCATGGAAGCTTTACTTACAATAATTTCATGTACAACAATATTATGACACAGTGAAAAGGAAAGTGAACTCTCCCAAACCCATACTTGAATTGGCTCACCTCAACAGCATATTTTAAGTAAGTGGGTTTATCCCTAATCAGAAATTATGTACACTTTTTTTTTATCAAATCCAAGGAGACCCACTTTCAAACACTCCTGTGTACTGGCAGGGCTACAATCTTTATCTCTGTCTGTGCCTCTCCATAGAGGTGCTGGCAGGCTCCCCTGCCCAAGGGTTCAGGGCTGGAACTGGAGGAGGACTGCTTAGCTCTGGACTGTGATGCATTAAGAAAAGTATGCAGAGCTGTGAGGGGAGGTTTGTACAGAATCTATTCACCCTGCATGCCCAACCAGTAAACCTTTCTTTTCATAAGCATTAAGGCTACTCACAAATTTTAAGAAATACTCACATGAAAGGCAATAGACATATGGAGAAGGTTAACTGGGCTAGGCAAACTGGAGCCATTGTTGGCTCCAAAACACATTTGGAAGAGCCAAAAGCAGAGGGGAGGAAAGAAAAACCCAACAAATTGGCTTCACAAAAGGAAGAATGTAAATTCTGCTGTCAACTTTCCTTGTTTATGGTTATTTCTTGTATTTCCTATTATTATGTCAGGCTCAGGGTGCTTATGTTAGATACTTCTGGGTTTATGTTCTCAGTTGTCCAGCAACAGGGTTGGGAATTAGTTTTCAGTACTGGTGAAGCTGAGTCAAACAACTTTATGCCAGCTGTGTTAGTGTGATTTTCATTCCTTGCTAGTTTAGAGATGTTAAAAGTTATCTTGGTGTAACTGTTGAGTTTGTGGATCCACCCCAGCTGTCATTAGGACTTAAAATGTTTAATTAGTGATGTTTATCTGGCTTTATGGGGAAGAAAAGAAAAATTCAGAAAATACAGATTCCTGAATGCAAAATCAGATTTAAGAGATATTAGCTGCTTATATCACCTGATACTTAAAAGCATGGGCATCAGCAAGAAAGTAACTCATTCTCTACTCATGTGATTTAAATACTATGCACAAGTGGGGAAATACTGCTTCCTAAACTGGCTTAGTCTTTAGATTATCTTAATTGGAGCAGAGAATAGCTTCTCTTTCAACTGTCTGAGAGACCACGAATCTGATTTGGAGGAAGTATTATGAACCACTAATTCTGGTTGGGTTTGCCTGAGGCAATGGGTGTTTGATTCATTTTTGTTATCATTGGGGTTTGTTTCTTAATGATTTCATGTTTGGATAGTGTCCAGATACCTCATTGGGTATAGTTTCAACATCACTTGTGTATGAACTACTGCATTTCTACCCTAATTTTGGGCAGCTCTTCCTAGCAGTAACTGAAAGCAATCACCTAAAATCATCTTGCCCACAATTCTGTTGCTAGGAGTCACACTGTATTCTTAGCACCAGTAGATGGAGATAGGAAAACTAATGAGAACTGTTTGCTGCAGATGCTGGATCAGAGAGGCTAAGCTAGATGCAGAAACCTGGAGCAAATCTTGCTGAGGTAGCTGTGTACAAACATACCAACTGAGCACTCAGAAGCGGGAGAAGCAGCAAGCAGGGACTGCAGCCTGTGCCATGTGATACTGATTACAATGGGTCTAAGTCCCTTTTAGGAGGTGTGGCATGGGTTTACAGCTTAAAAAACAAAACCCCAAACCACAAACATGTGGGACAGTCTCTTAAGAGGAGTGCCCCTTCCTATGTGTGTGACCACTGTGTGTTGATTTGGGCATTTTTGTTCTCCCCAATGGCAGCCAATCCCAGTGTTCCTCACAGTACACAACGCGGCAGAAGTTATAACCTGTGGGTTCCAGAAGTTTGTGCAGAAAGAGGTAATTGATCTATTAATCAATACATTCAAGGTAACTACTGTGATATAACTGCCCTAGAACAAGGCACCTAATTTCTTTGAATGATTACAGATAGATCACATCTCCAAATGAAATGTAGGAGGAATAGTGCATTTTTGGATTTGTTTTGAATGCTTGAGAATCTGCCCCAAGACATATGAAAGTCAGGAGAATAATTCCTGCACCCTTTAGTAAGAGCTTTGGAAGGTATTTTCCTTTCATTACATCTGTTGTCTACATGGAAGACAAATAAATGACCCATGTTGCCTACTCCTAACAAACTGAAGAGGTCACTAAGGTTATGCTTAAGGGACATAGCTTTGTGCACCAATCCCTGCAAGATTGCCCTCTGAATAGTGTCCCTGGTAAAGTTTTTCATATTTTCTATCTCATATGCTTATGACTCCTCTATTTAAAAACAAAAGCACTACAGACAAGGATAATGCAAACACAGGCCTTGGTGGGAAGCTTCTCAGAACTTGTTTTGTACCAAAGAATCGGGAAACTTCCATGACTTGAGATGAAGACTGATTTGACTGGAGTAGTACCTAATTAACGAAGAAAACTCAATACTTGAATACATACAGTACACAGTTTTGGTATAGTTCAAGTGAAGTTTGAGGAATAGGTATAAATTGCATGTCTCGTTTTAGGTTTACTTGTTGGTAATTAATCTGAAAATATAAATCAAATTGAAGTAGGCTAATCTGTATTCCTGCTTCTTCTTTTTCAAATTAAATTTGCTAAGCAGTGCTCAAACATAATGGGCTGTTGAACATTGCTCATTGAAGTTTTAATGTGTTTGGTGCAGTAAGATCAGCTGTCATCGCTTGCCTGTTTTTGGAAGGAAAAAGCAGTATTTCACCATTTTTATCATTGTTTAAGTTTAATGTTTTAATCATACTTTTTTTGTTCCTTTTTTTGCAGCAAACCTCTCATCTGAAAGTCTGTGGGTAAGCTTTTAAATCTACTTGGATTCCGATTCAGACTTGTTTTGGCTCCAGCTTCTGTATTTGCTTCAGATAATGGCACACCAAACCAATGAAGAATGTAAGGCACATTACTGTGGGCAGAGAGCCTAAATTGCAACACAGGAGTAATTAAATATTTTGACTTTTTTTCAAACAATTTCTTGAAAAGATATGTTTTTTTCTTCTTGCAAAAATAGAAAAAGTGAAAAGACCAATCTTTCTGAATAAAAAAGCAGTGCTTGTATCAATGTTTTTGGAATGCAGATGGAAACCAGGTTTGAAGTTCCAGTGGATAATCATAAACAGTAAGAGAAAGTGGATTAATATGTTAGAAAATAGCTAAAACCCTTCCTAAGAAATAAAAGGTAAACAATATAATTTTCTGTTAGAATCATTCATATTGAGGTGGGAGTCAGTACCTTCTTCTCTGAGGTGAAAGGACGAGAGAAAATGGCCATAAGTTGCACCGGGGCAGGTTCAGATTAGGTACTAGAAAAATAACCCCACGAAAAGCACAGTTAGGCATTGGAATAAGTTGCCAACGGAGGTGGTGGAGTCACTGTCTCTGGAACTGTTCAAGAGTCATCTGGATGTGGCACTTGGGGATGTGGTTTAGGGCTGATTATGGTGGTGCTAGGTTGATATTTCAATGAGATGATCTTGAAGGTCTCTTCCAACTTCAATGATACAGTGATTCTGTGATATTAAGCTACACAGTATACCAGCCCTTGCTGGCCTTGGTTGTTTAGGCTTCAAAAATGAGAGAAAGGGACAAACAGAAGACAACCAATCATGTGTTATAAGTTTCATTCAATGCCCCCACATCCTTTTGAAGAATGTATGTTTGCTGTCCTCCACATCCTGCAATCTTTTAGCTGTACTTAGGAGCGGATAATGTTGGGTTATTATTTAGTATACTTAAAGGCATTATCTTCCTAGATTCTTCCTGTTGTTTCTATTATCTGATTTACTGTGGCCTTGTCTTCACCACTGGATTATTGTCAAGGATATCTTTTCTAAATAATCTTTATTCTGTCTTTTCCCATGCCCTAGTGAACAGAAAAATAAGCTACAAAACCAAGTGTATGTTAGTATTAATAGCGAGAGTCCACAGAAATTCCATATCAGTGTATTCAGTGTAGCTTGAAGAAATACTGACTCAGCCACAGGTTAAGGATTTGTTTAGCCTAAGTCAGTGGACTAGGAAAGGACTTGTGCTGTCCTTAAGCCATTTCTAGTGTAATACCACTCACTTCCACTTTGCTGTCTGCCCTGGAGTTACACCATCACTTTTACTGGAGTCAGCTCTGCAATTCACCTTAATGAAAGAATTCTTTGGTAGCCATTCACAGTCAGAAATTGTTTGATTTTGGCTTTCAGAAGAAGCTTAGGGAAGCCAGATGGCAAGTGATGAATAATATTCTGTATCAGAAAAATGTGTTTTCACCACTGCTGAGATGTTTTGTGCTGCTTCTCTTCTCATACAACTTTGCTGTGTAAGAGTTATGGAGAATCCATGATGTAAAACTTAGTTTTGGTGGCAGAAATTGCTTTTTAAATATGGAGTAAAAAATGAAATGTCAGTGTAAAATTGAGTGTAATTGCCTCTACTTTGCTGAGAGTACAAATCCATGTTGCAAGCTTTTCGTCTTTTTTTTTTCCTGTTCTCCACAGTGTACTGTTCCTCGTGGCAGCAGCAGTGTGCCTTCCTTTCTGCGACACACAGGTGAGCTCTGCTTTGTAAAGCAGCTCTAGTTAGACCTTGATGTTTGACATCTTAGCATATGTAAGCTAGAGTGGGATTCCTGCAAAGGAATTGTAAATGTTTCCTATTGCTGTGTCAAAGTCTTGTTGGGTTTACTGTGTTTGCATCATAGTAAAACCTCTGAGCAGTGTGGATATACAGTTCTTTGTTGAGGATGGTGGCTGGGGAAACTATGGTTTTACTTCTTATAAGGCTTACAGCAAATCACTTAGGTTTGAATTAATTGCATGTACTTTCAGGAGGTTCCTGAATTAGCTTTGTATTCACTCTACACACTTTCTGTAGCTACTGGCGAAAGATAGGAGGCACTTGCAGAGTGCTCCATCCAGCAAAGATCTATTCATTGGAGGTTCTCTTTTGGAGACTTAGGAAGGTGATTCCTTGCTTTAGATCCTTCAGTTAATATCTGAAGTCAGATGAATCTGGAACTTGTCTGGATGCGTTTGATCAAATGTGGCCATCAGAAGTGTTGTGCCTGCACTAGCTCTCTTCATAGTCCGTGGTGCCGAGCAGGAACTTGTGGTATATCATTCATCTCCCCTGAAATTAGATATCTATAATATGCCAGGTGAATTCATCTCAAAGCTGTTTGGTTTACCCCATTTTGAAGAGGGCCTGCTTTGCTCAGAGACACATGTCTATTTGAAACGCTCTTTCGGATACTCTGTGGTTAATTGAAGCCTTGGGGAAAGAGACAGCTTAGCTGCTGCAGAGGCTGACAGGGGGAAGGAGACAAGACAAAAACCTTAGTGATGATCCTCTGCTCCTCCTGCCCCTCCCTGATGGGCAATACAAGACTAAACAGACTGGGGTCTGTGGTTTTAAATGGTGTACATACCTGAAGGAAATAGAACTGTCCTCGCTGAGAGGAACTGAGAGCCTGGGTAAGTGGCATGTGTCAGGTCACTAAGTGGGACAGGAAGAACTTCAGTCTTCCTAGGCTGCTTTAGCCATCTCTTTTTTTGTGGCATAGCTCTCACTCACTGTAGCTGCTTTGTGAAGCTAACTGCAGGGAAATGGTGATACGTATGTTTATATGAACGTGCTTGTATTTATGCAAATGTTCTTTATTGCAGTTTGATCCAAATGGTTATTTATGGGCTCTAATTCACTTGATCTGTGTTGGTAAGTCATTTCTTTTAGAGAAAGAATTAGAGTAAATGTGTTGGAGAAATCAGCTTTGTTGTGTTACTGATATTTGAGATTCTGTGCATAAGAAAGGCTCAGAAAAAATGAAGATCAATAAATGTAAGAAAGTGTGTTCCTTTTATATCTTTAATGTTGAAAACAACAACAGAATAAACTAGATATTGCAATCTGTTAACAGTGTATGAGAAAATGCACATACAATTTTAATCAGCATTAAGCATTTCTGGTTGTTTTTGTTGGTTGCCTACTGAGAGACACTTCTTTCTGAGGGGAGAAGAAACATGAAAAAAACAAGCAATAACTTGTAGCTGGAGCTTTATTGCACACGCATATTTTATTTAAAACCTGGCAAAAATATTCTAAAATATAATAGAATATGCTCCCAAAGGAAGGATGTTGAAACGTTGGGGGGTTTTAGGCAATAATATGCATTTTTTTGAAAATGTTAACAATGAGTTGCATAACCTGTCAGGTTTTCTTTTATCTTTTGTTTTGAGACTATACGCTGATTTGGATAAATATAATTCTTCCCTGAAAAGCTAGAAACAGTCAGATCCAGGAAATCTGAAGAAAGCAAGAGTAGTAATTTTTAACTAGGAGGTTTGTGTCTTTAGGAGCATTTGAATGTATAATAAGGGACTTGTATTAGGTTCTTATCTGTCCTATAGACTGAGTTATTAATTCATATGTTAAGTCTTGTCTACAGGTTAGGGATGATCCCTTCTTTATTTCTTGTATTCATCTTCAGGGCAGAGGTAATGTGTTTATATGTATTCATGTCTAGGGAGGTCTAGAGGTCTCATTCTAAAATGTTGTTAACATACAAATAAGAATTTTTTTTCCTTTAGGAAATACTATATGGTAAACATTTGCTCATTTAGATAAAAGAAAAAGCTATGGATTTTTCACTTCAAATACTTGTTTCCTGTAATAAGTGATGTTATTGCTTTCTCAAAGCCAAGGGGTCTCATTTGTAAAGCCGTGCTTGGTCACAGAGGTGGAAAACTGCTTGGAGAGTCTTCAGAATGTTTCTTCTGTGTGTTTGAAATGTGCAGGAAGTGCCAACATAATGTTTATGCTCAAATTACAGCTCCTTTCCATTTCTCTTGGTTTTGAGAGTTGTTGATATGGCTGTTGGGTTTTTTTTGTGTGTATAATTAGATTTCCTATCAACTGAAATAAGGATGCTACAAGGAAGGACAAACAGATGAATTAACTTACTGCACAGACAGAGCACTAGAGAAAGGACATGTTCTACCCTTCGATTTGTCTAATGGAGGCAGAATTGAGGACATCTATTTCATAGTGTTCTACTGGATTTACTTTCCATGTTCTGTTTTCTCTGTGAATCAAAAAAAATAATACCCCAAAGCCTTGAAGAAAGGCTATGAAAAACGTAGAGTCTGAAGCTGTGTTGTTTCTTCCTTGAGTTCTTAAAGGTTCACCCAGAATAGCAATGGGAGTTAACCAAGAGGTCAGTGTAAAGAACCTGGAGACCTTAGAGCTGAGTGAACTCTAAATAGGAAAGACTGCTCAGAGCCAACAGCTCTACACAGGGGTCTATATAGATGGACATATCACAGAATTTACCCCCAAAGTGGGGTGGTCTGACGAACCCATTCTGTGTCACTCACCTGTATGTATTTACACAGAAAAACACACACACTCTCCTTTAGTGGTTGCTGTGAGCTAGAAGTTGTCTCTTCCTCAGAAAGACTAGCAGAACCACAAGGCATGACTGTACTCTGATATGATAACACTTTGAAAACCACTAATTTGAAGTGATAAGTTCATTTTACTCATGGTTTAGGCATCCTTTGTGCAGTGTTGCTAAACTGTAATTCAGAGGGGTTCCCTGTCTGGGAGTACCATGGCCAAACAAGCTATTGTTTGTCAGAATGATTGCATGCTATGGCAATTACACATGTCATTTCAATTACAGGGGCTTACAAAGTATTTCACAAGTTGTGGAAACCTGGCTCCTTAAGGTAGTGTGTTTTCATATTCTTTTAAAAAGACAGAGATTGCTATCAAAGATGGTTAGAGATACATCTCTGTATCAGTCAGGTTAACTGTAGGGATCTCTGCATTATCAGTGTGAGCTGGGCCACTCTTGATGAATCATTAATGACTTCTCTTGCAAGGGGAGCCTTGTTTACTGTTGGTAACAATAGCATGTGGTTATTGATAGTTATACTGCTAACTGGAGCACTGAATTAGTCTTAAATAGTGTATTATCCAAGGGTGATGATTCAGTCCTGGAAAAAGAACCTCTAATTACTGGCACAGGTGTTAAAAGGAAATGTTTTGTGTTCACCTGGAGAGCTGCGTGGCTTGAGTCTGTCAGTATCTCCCTTTGCAACACAATCTCAAAAGTGCTCAGTGGCTGGTGAATTATCACAGGGCTGGAGTGACTGCGTACCTTAAACACCTTGAAGCCTTGCAGTAAGCCTGTGTGAGTGTTAGAACTGCAACCAGACAATAGCAGTCTTGGAATAGACTGGCATTACATATTCACACTGTCTGTAATCTGCAGGTGTCTGTATGGATAGAGATAGATATGTTGCCACTGTATATTACCTATATGTACATAATACATGGATGTGTTGAATATGGATAAACTCGTTTATTTCAAAACCATTTTGTGTCTCTGGTCAAAGAGTCTAAATTTTAGTCAGTCTCGCTTTATCTTCACTTTAAATGAGACTCCCACTGACAGTAAAAACAGAAATCATGTGCACCCAATGTGTAAATTAGTACACTGATTAATTTATTGATAATGTTAGAATACTACTAGATTGTGTTTATAATGTATGTAATTATAATATGTTAGTATTACCTAACTATTATAAATTACAATGCTGTAATATTACGGTGTTACAATGCTGCTTAATATACTGATCATTTATACCAAATGAACTGCATTGCTAAAACAAAACCTTTTTTTCTTTCCCTTCTCTCCCAGTGATCTGGACCAACAGTACATCAACTATGTATTCAGGTAAAATGAATAAGCCTTTGATACACCATAGCTGGTTTTGTGTGGTGTATGTTTTAATTTTCAACCGTGGCTTGTTTAGGAAACTCATAGCTACCACTACTTAAAGGTATTTATTTAGCAGAACATTCACTGAAAGAACAGTGCTAAACTGAATGGTATAGCAGCCGAATTTTTTTGGCTCTGGTTATAGGGGATATGCCAATATACACCTGGGGAGGTAATGAGGTGTTAATTATGAACTTTTAAATCAGCATGTGCACGAGTGATCTATCATTTCCAGAAATAATATTTACATAGTAACTCCCTGGCAATACCCCACTTCAGAAAATAAAACTTGGATGAAATTTCTAGAGAGGGAGGTAGTAATTACAAAAGTAAGATGTGCAAAGTACACGAGCAGTAACTGATTGTTCACAGTGCCGTTAGTGGGATTGAGTAATTCACGCTTTCAGTTGTTTTTCTGATTTGTAGTTATAAAAGTGGCTTGGTATTTTGTAGCTAGTGGGAGAGCCTGAGTGACTGACCAGATTCCCCTGCTTTTTTAAATTCACTTCTTTCCTCAAAGTGCCGCATAAGCCAGGACATTTGGTGTACATGGCTTCCTCTGGGTTTCTGTGAGGCTGTGTTTGAAGTAAGGCTTATAGAGTCTTGATTAGATTCTCCTCCATCCATAATCACATCTTGTATATGTTGACTTCTTTTCTTGAGATGGTAGCTAAAGTTGTATGGGAACACTATGGTGCATGGATACTAAGCTCTAAGAAAGAGTGGCCAAAGAAATGAAAAAGGGAGCAGAAGTTAGGAATAAGCATGACAAAAGTGAAGTTGTGCTTGTCTGTTTGATTAGATTGATGTATGCTCTTGTCTGACCACAGGAAAGATCCTTGATAGGAACACATCCGGGACAACAGTGTAGGACAGTTGCTTTAGTTCAATTCCTGTTTATCTTGTGAGCATCATCTACATGATAATACTGTGTATCTCTTTCTATCTCAGTTCAATCAAATCTCCTATTTCCATAAATAAGTAATGCAGGCCTCTGATTTTGCCTTTGTGTGATTCCAGTGTCAATTCACCAGGGTCCCATTTATGGATAAAATCTGAATATCAATTTGCTTGAAGTAGGCTCTTGTTTAAGGCAGTTGTTGTTTTCCATCTATTATGAAGTGCAAAGCAAATCAATTTTACACAAAGAAGCTAGGTGTGTTTATTGAAACTTCGGATGAATTAGTCATGGAATTTGCAAATATGCTGCAACATGCAGAAATAACCCATGAAGTCTTGAATGAACTGTGGTTTTATGTGAAAGGGAAAATCAGGGAACAAGCAGTAAATTCAATTGATTTTTCATTTGGTCGTTGCCTGACTATGGCTCTCAGTTGTCATTTTAGTTAAAAACTGCACATAGGCCTGAACCTTTAAATTCAAATTTTGACTTAAGGTCTTAGTTTAGCAACATTGATTGAAAAGTCAGGGCTGGGTTCCTGCTCTGTTAGATGGTGATCTTGGTCCTTTGAAGTCTGTGAACTTGTGTCCAGCAGAGAGCAGGAGTACCACATTACAGGGTGATTATGATTATTTATTTAGAGACTTTTGAAAGGGAAAAACTTCGCCCCAAGGAACTGTCAGGTGCAGGGGTATGTATCCTAAAGCTGTTCTTTTTTACAAAAAAACGAGCAAACAAACAGTGCAGCAATGAAACTGTGCAAATTGGAAGATGGCATTTTTAGCATCTGCCTAAAAGCATGAATGAGTTATCAAGGCTTCCAAATATTTTCACCATTAAAAGGCTTAAAGGTCAGCATAGCTTGCAAGATGATGGTGCAAAGCAATTGGTGGAAAACAGGTGGCTTAGAGGAGGTAGAAGACTGGATTTGTTTGGCTTGGGTCTATGGATATCTATATGTCTGTGTATTTCTATGTGTTAGAGAAGCTCACGATCCATAGCTTTTGGACCTCATCTTCCTGGGGAAAACAAGCAGTACCATGGACAATGGGAGAAGTTATTTCTTTTAGAGTTTTGTTTTGTCATAATAATTGATGAAGTTTGAAAGGGTGTGACATTTGGCAGAAGCTCTCTCCTTGTTTGCAGCCTCCATGATGTGCCACCTCCAATGTCTAATGGGGCTGAAATCTCTCTGCTGCAGAAGGCACTGGCAGGGTTTGTCTATTTGTGAGATCTCTGCTTATGTAGTTATCTTGGAGATCAGTGTCACTTCCCAAATTTGGATGAAGCTGTGTTTGAGAGCTATGTAGAGCTGTGTACACACAGCTGTACTGCACAAACTTGATTTCTGCAAAAAACAGTCAAAAGTATTTTTAAATCTCACTGTGTAGAGGAATGTTCTCTGAATGAGCACTAACTCCTCACAGGCATCGCTGGGTCAGAATTACTGCAAATGTGGGTTTAGCTCTGTCAAAGGGTGCCCAGCACTACGTTTTATGATTTAGCAGGTATTAAGGTCATTTAGGTTGGAGAAGACCCTTAAGATCACTGAATGCATTAACCAAACACTACCAAGTCTATGACTGAACCTTGTCCCTGAGCACCATATATATATGTCTTTTAAATACCTCCAGAGATGGTGACTCACCCACTTCCCTGGTTCTGCCCCAAGTTACTGGATGTTAGACTGTACCAATATGTTAGAGTAAAAATATAAATATTTAGATTAAAAAGAAACACTAGCTATATTGTCTCTGTTGGATGCTTCCAGAGGTGCAACTGAAATTAGCAAAGTCTAACATATGCTGTCCTTACATACCATACACTGTTTCTTCTTTTAAAATCTGGAACAGTTTGGGAGGGAAGAACATCTTAAGCAAATGTACATGAATGGGAACTTTCCAGAACCAAACAGATCTGAAGAAATATTTGCTGATGTTGAAAGTGTGGCGTTCTCACTTCATCACTTACAGCATGATTATTCAATGGCTTTTAAAAAAGGGAGCCAGACCAGGACAAGTGTAGGAGGCAAAGCAGAGCTGTGCTATGCAGAGAAGGGAGGGGTGAGGTAGCAGCTGGGATGTGCCCAACCCCATCCTGTTCATCCCTCTCCTTTAGGTTTAAGTATCTGGGGCAGGGACAGGGAGAAAGAGAAGAGGGACAGTGTACTTCCGAGATCCTCCCTGTAATCCTCCAATCCTCTTGATCCCACCTCCTTGTTTTAATGCAGTATTTTATTTCCCTGCACTCTGACTTCTGCATTAGTGTTCCATTTCCTAGTGGGGCTTTTTTCACTACTCGTGCATTTTCTTTTATTCCTTTCTGTTCCTCCACTTCTTATCAAGGGGGGTAGACAGATTTCTCCCTGTTAGCTGGCAAGGGGTAGCATGAGGGGAGGAGTGGTACTGTCTGCCTGGCATGTTGAGGGATGCACAAGGTGTCTTAGAAACAAGTTGCAGCTCATCTTGGGCTTTCTTATATGCTGAGATAGGTAGAGATGTGTTATGCCTTGTGGAGAACCTGGAAGAAAGTTTCAGTACATCTCAGTGCCTGTCCCTGTCTGATACTTGTTCACAAAGGCATTCCAGATGGCCTAGCAGTCACTGGTGAGGAGAAAAATATGGAAGAGTTTCAAATAGTGAATAAATGTCACTGACAAAGGTATGAGGTAAAGGCTCTACTCTGTGCAGCTAAACTACATCTGGCTTCGAAGAGCTGCTAATCTGTCACTTTTGTGAATTAAAAATGCTGCAGTAGATTTTCTGCAATAGGGAAGGGCAGCTTTGCAGGCATAAATTGCTGTTCTTGCTGACAAAAGCTCTTTTTAGCCAGAAAGGAAACCACGGATGACCCAGCCCTCAGCACTGAGTGCAAGGGGAAAAGAGAGGAGCAGAGAAATCCAGCACAGGGATTTTGGTTTTGCTGCAGCCTGATGTCCAGACTGTCCTGCTAGAAACCTATGAATCCCTAATCTGGTTTTACACCATCATTGTGTCTTTTCTACTGATGCTCTGTTCAGAGCAGAGCTACAGTACAGCTGTAATGCCATCTAACCCATTTGCCTTAACCTACCCTGCACTTCACAAATAAGGTTTTGTTTACCTCCTGTGTTTTCTTTGGATCAAAACCTGGAATATCTGGTAGGGTTATCAATTCCTCTTGGTTGCAGAAGGAAGTTTCTCTCTGAGCATTTCCCAATCTGACTGGGTTTTTTTTTGTTTGTTTAATAATGCGGAAGGCAAGTCGAGAAACACAGTTTAGTCCTAATTCTCATCACTGTTGGTACAGTTTCAATTGCCCTGCCAGTCTCCTGTTTTCTCCGTTATTCAGTCAAAAGCAGTAGACGTTCATTTCCTTTTCTCTCTTTACCAGGAAACTGAGGAATTGGGCCTGTTTATTGTGAATTCCTCTTGGCATGCGGTGCAGGGAGAGCACCCATGTGTGGGGAGGAGGGGCAGGGGGGAATTACCACTGTAAGTGATCGCCTTTGCCTTGTTTGATGTCTTTGTGACAACCACATCTTTTAAAGACATGTATAAATATTGACAGTGTCAACATACTGTACCAGCTGTTGCCTTTCAAAGACATATAAAACATGAAACTTAAAATTCCTGTCTGCCTGTCCCTCATAAACAGTTTCCTCCTTCACCCATTGTCTCCTTCGGCTGATTTCAGTGACAAGCTTCCCCCTTTGACTTCCTTGGCCGTGGGATTTCCATGTTCTTTGGAGTTCCTTTTGCTGCCGGTGCCTCTGTGAATGATGCTGGGATTCACCAGAGCATGCTGAGAGCAGGTCACCAAGTGCAGTAGCCTGGTCACATAGCTGGGACCAGCTGAGGGTGAGCAGGTTGGAAAACAGTAACTGTGTTAACACTGGAAAAGGGAGTTGGCCTGGAATGCTTTAGCATTCATAACATTAATGAATGTCTTTTTACCTCTCTAAGTGCAGTGCTTGCGGCTTATCAAGAAGCAAACTCTCCAGATACTCTTTTCTCCTCCTACTTGCCCTTAGTGTTTGTCACGGGTGTGTGTTGTTGGTAATTGGAAGAAGCTGTAGCTGTGCTTCGGAGACATGCATGCTTCTCCCATCTTGCAGTGCCCCAGAATATGTTTCTGTAGCCCTCTAACCTTGGAAACAACTTGGAATGAAAAAGTCTGGGAAAACAAATCAAATTTACAGAATCAGTAGCACTGAAAAAGGTTCTGTCCTGCCTATACTGCAAACTCAGAGGATGAAGTCTTTATAACACCTCAGAAGTGATACTTCAGGTAAAGAACTGGTCACTTGACTTGTTCACTTGTATCTTTCTGAAAAGTATGAATCATCTGTTCTGATACTTGGTTTTATTTTCATGTGGTTTTAAACTTGTTTAGATGAAGCATTTGGTATAATATGGAACAACAAACATACATTGCAGCTTTGGTGGTTTAAAAATGGGACAGCAAGAAAAGATTATTTGCTAGGAGGGTAGAGTGGCCCTGGGACAAGTCACCCATAGAGGTGTGGAATCTCTGCTTGGAGGTTTTTGAGACCTGGATTTTAGAGACAGAGCCACAGAGGGCATGATCAGATATTGGTGATAGTCTTGCTTCAGGTAAGAAATTGTATTAGGTGATCACAGAGATTCCTTCCCAATCAGCTTTTTTTCTTCTTTCAATTGATACTTATGCCTCAGTTATTCTACTTAACTGGAATAAGTTTCACTGCGAAAAAAAACAGACAGAAACCTGTGAATTTATAATATTCATCCCATGTCATAAACTCTGTACTAACCAGTGATTTTTTTTTTCATTTTTTAGTGTGGTGCTGTTGACCTCTGCGTCCCATCCAGCAGGTAATGTGGATTGAGTTTTTCCTTTTTTTCAGGTTTCCATATTGCCTTTCCTTTCCATGCATGGATTTTAACACTGAAAATGACCAATAATATGATATTCTGCAGGAAGAGAAAGGGAGAGTATATAACTCAGTGTAATTTGCATGATATTTCCTGTTACCTTTCTTACCTGCCCTTGCAAAGCAGCAGCATGGGACAGACAACAAAGAACAGCTAGGTCAACGTAGTTGCTTCAGAGCAGTGACCCAACAGTCCATACAGAACTGAGTTTCCTCCTCTGCATTGCCCTTAATGCTATGCAGAGATTTTGGGTTTTTGCTTTTGTAAGATGTATCCCATTGCCTGAGCCCATGGCTGGGTTTGAAGTAGCAACAGATCAAATGGTAAAAAAGGAGAAATGTAATATTTTATGGTGGCTAATATTCCTATCATACTGGTGTCTTCATAGTTAGAAGAGTAAAGATGATCATCTGCTGCTTTCGTTAGACACTTGTTCTACCAGCAAAACAGAGATAGAGGCATTTGAAGAAGCATAACTTCCCCCTTTTGCCTCGTGGTGCATATTGTGTATATAGGCATCTCCCACCAGGATAGACCTACGTGTTACGCAAAACAGTCCTGCATTTCACAAAGTGAAAGATGAAGCTTCCTGCTTATCTGTAGAGCCTGATGACCAGACAACTCCTGGCATTTGTTGCTGCCAAGAGCAACCAGGGCCCAGGTTCCTGGAAATGGAGGTACTCAAGGGCTCTACTTGCATCTGGGAGAACTTCTTTAAACCTCTCAACATCCTCTGTGTGACAGAGTTCAAATGTGAGAGGGGGAAGCAGCCACCATATATCTCTGTTTCCTGTTACTTCAGTAGGAACTACCACAAGCTCTGTAATAAAAGAGGTGGATGTGATATATATCTGTCTACTGGCAACTGTTGCTCAAGCAGGATCTTCGGTATACTAGCAAAGAATACTCTTATGTATCCCTTTTCCCTTTTTCAACTAAAGGCAGGAACTGGCTAGAAGCAAGGTCAGAGAGAAATCATTAAGCGCACTAGAAATGTGGAAAGCATCATAAATGAAAACTCAGCCAGCTGTAAAGGCTCAGAGGAATGTTAAACCAGTAATATTCATGTAATTGCTATTTCCTTGCTTGTAGCAGTGGGTAATTTTTTTCCCGGTGTTCCACTGAGTATTTTGCTTTGTCCCTCAGGTGATCTTCTCAGTGCCTTGGACTTTCCATTCCTGTACTTCTACAGGTTTCATAGCAGCTGCTGTGCCAGGTAACTTCTCTCTCTATAACAGGACACACAAATGTTTTCAAAATAAGAAATCCCATTGACTTCCAGCCCTGACACTCAGTTAAAAGTTTTTGAGCATGTAAAAGCCTCAGTTATACTAGTTTCTGCTGGCATAAGCCCATAGAACTGCAGAGAATATATATCTGTGCCTATCTGTGGATATGCATTTGAAGGGCAGAGATTCAAATGTGCTGGAAGTCTATATGTGTCCTTGAGTGAGTACATTCTGATCAGGAGAGTTCCTAGTTGCCAGTAAAATAATTTTTACCAAATGTAGCAAAGCTTTGATACATAGCATCTCTCAAATGCTTCTGAAGTTGGATTAGCCCTTGTAAAACTTGCTGTTTGCAGTGATTACGAAGTATTAGTCTTCCAGAGTATATGGGTGTGCATGGATTTATTTGCCTGTACATCTTGTTATTTGGCAAAATGTTTTTTTCGGGTAAAAGGGAAAAGCTTTAACAAGTGTTCCTTTATTTTGAGTATCAAAAGTTCACTGCCTAATAGTGCAATTCTCACAGGACAACATAAATATGTTTCCTATAGATCTTAGTTGTCTAAAAAAAAATTATTCCTGTCGTTCATTTCCAGTCTTCCAGTTTTTTTCCAAATGTTTTCTTTTTTGCCAAGTGTTTTCTTTTTAGAAGGAAAAAATATTTTCATGCTGATGGCAAAAATATTTTGGGATTGTTAGGGATTTTCTTACTTCTACCTGGATTTTCTATTAAAAGGGGATATCAAGAGTCATTGTTAAATAATTTCCTATGTGCAACATTTTTTGTTATGAAAGGGCCTTTTTTTTTTCAAGTGCAGATTATCCACACTACAAGCAACTTGCAATTAGGTATTAATGATTTTTTTCTACTGTAGGTAGATGAAATCTGTTTTTCTTGAAGGCACTAACAGATACCTGTCTAGCCCAGATACTCTTCTCTTTCACTTCATTAGAATTTTACCAATTTATGTTTCCATTGCCCCAGCTTCAGTACATGAGTAGTAGGTGGCACTGTACACTACAGCAAGGAGAAAGGAATGGTTAGATGGAGAAACAAGCATCTCATTTGCTCTCCTATGTCATGTAATCTAGTGTCTTTGTAAACATGAAAGATATGAAGGAAAACCTATACAATGTAAAGTAAGGGCATCTGATGCAGCTAAATCTACTGCTTCTGCAGAATGTCTGAAGGATTAGTAGTAAGGTGCAAAGTGCTTTAATGAAATAAATTAGTGTTAATCATGGCATCGATATTTTAGGTATTATAATTAGCTGTTTCACTTTTTATGTCTGAATTACACTAAGCAGTTTCAAATGTCTCTGACTAAAAGCCCTTAACAGCAGGGCAGAAGATCTGGAGCACACTTAAGCCAGCTACTGGACTCTGAAAAGTTTGGGCAGTGTGGAACTCACTAATTTTGCAGAGTGAAATGCTCTGCTGCTCAGCACTTCATCCTCTGCAGCAAGTTGCTGAGTTTGGGCCTATCTTTTGTCATCAAAGCAGCATCTGATTTCTTGGCATCAGGCCCAGTGGGTAGTCCTTTGGGGTCTCAGGTTATGGCACAACGCGAGAAACCCTAGTACCTTCTGCTCCTGGGAGGTTATCTTATCTTACTGTTTGGTACCTGTACTGGCATGTGGCTGAGATGGAACTTTGCCACATGTACTGAGGAGGGATCAGCACTTGGCTGAGACACTGGAGCCTGGCATGGAACTTCTGACCTGGGGAGCCACCAATTTCCACCCTCCCTGCTGCTGAGAGGGGACCAACTACATTGCATCACCCTCCAGAACAGCACACCCTCTGCGAATACCATGACACTTTTTGCTTTACCACATGTATGGTGTTGATCCTATCTCCTTTCCCACAGTGCTTTGTAATCTTTTCTAGCTCACAGTAATTTGTGCCATACATGTTTTTGAAGTCATTTTCTATTCCCTGCTTGCTGGTTTACGCTAGTTCATTTGTTCACAGCTAGTGGGTTGTAAGTAAAACAAGAAGGTTATAAGCTCTGTGAAGTCCAGTGAGATGTGGAACAGAGTTTTCTTAAGAGTAGTCTTGGCTGCAGGAGCACTGGGGACTACCGTCCTATATATCTTGAGAATCTAAATTCTCTTAATTGTCAGCAGAGAGCTTGGGAGTACTCTGTTCCCAGCACTAGTGAGTCATCTATTTGTTATACAGTAGAGATGTATTTGACTTCCTAATTGGAATTTAGGCTTCATGAAGTTTAAACAGCTTGAAAGCTTCAGGCAGAAACTTTCCAGTCGTTATTTTTTTCAGTTCAAGGCTCTGTGGAGGTTGAAGTGAGCCAGTTGCCAAACATGTGTGGTTCCTGTTGAAATTAGCATTGCTGCTATTCAGGGCTATTTTAATGCCTGAAGTTAATATTTCACCTCATGTTTCCAATAATCTCTACTTTTCTGATTATGCAAGTGCATTAGAGACCAGCCATAAGAGCGTCAGGCTTACTTTACTCAGATTCTAGTCACTGACTGAACAAAACCTGAGATGTACTGGACATAATGTAAGCTCCTTGTCCACCAGCTTTCTTTCTCCAAATGGGATTAACACTGCAGTTCTGTATTAGGAAAACCAAGATGCCTGTAAGGGGTTGCTTAGCTGAAATTAAGAGAATTTATTAACAAGCTTTCCCCATCCCTTGCAGTGGACTGCTGGGATTCTTTCTGATGTTGCACACAGTGAAGCTAAAAAGCAGCACAACCTCAGGGCAATATGCAGCCTGGAGTTTCCTTGCAAAGGTAAGAGAAAGACCCTCACAGGAACACAGCGGATCTGTGCATCTCCCTGGAGAACTGAGGAATTTCTGCATCCCTCTAGTTTCCCTTGCTATTTCTACTTGACACTCCTAGGGCCTCTATGTGCAACCTGCATATAGAGGCGAGGCAACAAATATCAAGTGCCAGGATCACTAGCTGAGATGAAATACTGTGTATAGACTGAGTCTAATGGAGATAGTCTGATTATTTGCCTACTGAATCCCAGTAATACAACTCTATACTTTCCAGGGGTGTAAGAATACTCCTTCTGAGAGTGTGTGCACCAGCCATTGTTTGCAGTGTGTCTTCACTGAGCCAAGAGCTAAAACTAGTTCCCTGAAGTTCTGTACCAGAACTCCCACTGTTTGCATTGCATGGGAGAACTGTGGATGTCATTTGCCTTGACTTTAATAAGGCTTTTGATGGTATCTATCTCCCACAATATTCTTGTATGTAAATTAGACTGTGTCTGTATGGACAGACAACTAGATGGGTAAAAAAAGATTGGATAATCAGGTTAAGAAGGTAGAGGTTAATGATTCCTACTCTAACTGGAGACTTGTGACAGCTGGAGTGGCACAGGGGTCTGTGCTGGAACTCTTCCTGTTTAACGTCTTTATTGAAGTATCAGAGATGATAAAGTGCAGTATATTTGCAAAGTGGGAGGACCACTCAAGAACACTGGAGGACAGGGTTGCCTTGCAGGAAGACCTGGACAGGCTGGAGGAATGGGCCAACAGAAATCTTAGACAATTCATCAAGGGCAGATGTGAAGTTCTTGAAGCACATGGAAAGAAAGAGCCACTTGCAATAATACAGCCTAGCAACTGCAAAGCTGGGAAGCAGCTCTGCAGAAAAGGACCTGGGGATTTTGGTAGACAACAAGCTGAAAATAAGTGCCCTGACAGCTAAGAAGGCCAAAAGTGTCCTGGGTTGTACTAACAGTAGCATAGGTAGTAAATTCATGGAAGCAATCATTCCCCTCTACTCAGCACTTGTTAGACCACATCTGGAATAAGGAACCTTGTTTTAGACACCTTAGTACAGGGAAGACATGGATAAACTGGAGTGAGTTTGGCAGAGGGTCTGCCAAGAGAGTCAGGGAACTGGAGCACTTGCCTTGTGAGGAGTGGCTGCTGGACCAGCCTTGTTCATCCTGGAAGAGATACAACTTTGGAAGCACCTAACAAACAGCAACCATCCAATAGCTATGGTAAAACTAGCAAGAAGACAGATTCAGACTATTCACAGACGTGCGTAGGGGGGTGTGTTTATGATGAAAAGACAGGTTCAGACTGGGAATGAGAGAATTTTTTTCACTCCAAGGACAAGTCCAGCAAGGGCAGAGGTTGCCCAGGAAGGTTGTGCAGTTTCTGTCTCTAAAGGTTTTCAAGACCTGAGTGGATAAAGGTCCGAAGCAACCCAGTCTGACCTCCTGAGGTCCCTTCCTACTGGAATTATCCTATGATCTGTGGATCCAGGGTCTGGCTGTACTTGATTTAAGTTATTAACAAGTCATTTGTTAAATTATTGGTGGTGAATGCAGTCAGAAGAGCTTGTCAGACTCCTTTTCCCTGGTTAGATTGTACTTGGTTCATCACTCTCAGCTAGGTCATCTGAATACCACAACCTTCCTATGTGGTTTGTCATCACAGCTTTCCTACTACAGTGAATGAAGCAGTTACCTTACAAAATAAACAAAAAAAAAGTAGACTTGCATAATATGCTTGTTTAGAAACTGTAGTCAAATGAGTCGTTTTTTCTGAGGATAACAAGAAGGGAGTGATATGGCTTGTTTTGTGCTTTGCAAGCTGTTCTGCACTGTACAAGTCACACAGAGTTTCTCACCAGTTTGACTTTCTTCCAAACCTTCTGACTGTGCAGATTTTAGTACCTTAGCTTTCTTCTTGCTCCTTGGTAGCAAGTCACCTGATCTAAAGCTTGCTCTTGAGTCTTGTTTGTTTGTTTGCTCTTTTGTTTAACATTCTGGGTTGGAGATGGGAATAGCTGGCTCTGCTAGTAGGTGTTATGAATGAGGGTAAATGGTTCTACATGTGGTATTTATGACCTATCTGAAAAAAATGCAGGCAAAGATGTGTTGTGAAATATATTTTAAGCAGATTTGAGTCCTTCCCAATTGAAGTGGATCAGAGCCCCAAAGTCTGGACTGGATCAAAGCTTTCCCAAAGTTCAAGGGTTTCTGGATTTGTGGGGCCAACTCTAGGCATAATTTAGACAAAGTTTGTTCTAGCCACTGTTGTCAAAGAAATTACATGCCTTTATAGCAAGTAAAAAATTGTGTCACTGTGAGAATTTAATCCGTTCTTCAGTCTTAAAAGTGCATGTTTTTTAATGTGCATTGTTTAATTATCTTGCTTGGGAAAGTTGTGTAACAGAGCACATTAGTCCTTTTCCTGTTGTACCTTTTAACCTTACAGTGCTCAAATGATATGTCTTGTCTTGAGATCAAAAAGGGGAATAAGTAACGAGGACATGAGATCTGTCTGTAGCACTAAAAATTTTATCAAGACTAGTAGGTTCACTAATGTGTTCCGCTAGTGTTTTAAAGCTTGCTATAAGACTTATCTAAGGGTTCTGCTGTACCTGTCTGAGGATGCATCAGCAGCATGAAGGAACTGCTGCTGAAATGGAGCTGATTTGGGGGTAGAAGTCAGTGACTGTCTGAAGAATTCGGAAACATTATGTATCAGTTTTAAAACAGGGATCAAAAGAGACTGCAGAGACAGACACAGATTGGCAGAAACCAAGAGCTGAACTGGAGCTTGCCTGAAGGGTAAAGGCTGACCTTTGAGCTCCTGCAAGATTCTCCCGAGGAACCTTGCATCTATAAGGAACTATAAATTTACATAGTTTGCATATAATTTACATACATAAGATTACATAGTAGTTAGGAAGAGTTCTATCTATCTGATCACTAATGCTGCTTCCTGCAGGTGATTGAAAGTGTTAAAACTACGTATTGATCCAGGCCAGCACTGCCTTGGTATGAGGGCTATGTCAATCCCATCTTAAATCATCATAAGTGCAGAAAAGCAGTGTGTAACTAGCACTGTTAGAATCTGTGTAACTCCCTTTAAACAACAAAAAAAAAAGAATAAGGAAGGAAGTTAGTGTGAATAAAGAAAAAAGATAAAATAAATGTATTTGAATCTGGACTTGCAGAATGGGATCCAGTGGAAAAAAACAAAACACCTCTGATCACAATAACAGCTTTTTGTTCCCACATGAGCATTTTTCTTGGATTGAGTAGTGCCCTAGATCATCCTCTTAATCTCTCAGACTGACTGGAGTTTTCACCAGCAGTTGGAAAGGAGCAGCGTTTGAGGCCAGAATATGTTTATCTTGCAAACGAGCCAAGAAAGGAGAATGCTGTAGCCCTCAGACAGCAGCACAGGCCTTTGGGGAGCTGCAGAGAGTCGCAAAATCTGTTTTCCATTTGGATGCTTTGTACCTATGTGACTGATGAGCTGGGGCTGAGATCCTTGCCACAGCTTCATTTTCAATAAACTAACCATGAGATCTGATAGGGCCTACTTTGCATACTCAAGGAGGTATTCTTTGTGAAGCCCACATATTTGGCCTCCCTGCCCTCTAATTTTTCATTCACTTAAAAACTGGAGCTGGGTTGTGACTTGCTTTTACGATACTTACTTTGGCTGTGGCAACTTAATCAATGTATGAGGTTTTGAAATTCTTCCCTGCAATGATTCCTGACAGGTTTCATGTCAGAGCATTGCTTTGTGCAGAGACAGACGAAGCACAGGTTTCATCTGTGAATATAGTCCTGTGTGATATTTATAGTGACAAATGCTCTCTGCACTTTTTCTGTGAGAGCAAACAGTGTGTGTTAGTCATATCTGTATGAATTCATGAGAAATGCCAAAAAAAATCACTGAAGTGATCTCTATAACAAAACAGAAAAAGCTTTTAAAAGTCCAAGAAATATGAAATGCTTTGTCATAGCCTTGCACAGATTTAATTCCCAGAAGAGCAAGGATTTGAAGTTGTACTGAGATTTCTTGTTTTAATTTGAAAGCTGTGCTAGTATCATGGGTCATGTACTGGAAAGAAAAACTGGAGATGCTCATATATACAGACAGAAGCATCTGGTGAGAACACTAATGAGCTCTAACCGTGCTGTCAGTGAGTTTGTTTTGATTAAGGCTGCCAATCTATATCTGGTCATGAAGCCTGTTAGGGTCCCTAAAAGTTAAGCAGCAGAAATAATTTAAATCATTAATAGAATGGAAAAACTCAGCAAGATACTGGTTACTTACAAATAAATTTTCCCATGTCACGTTTACTGTTATCCTGATAAACCTGAAGTACGGAATTCAGTTTGTTTCCAGTAGGAACCTATTGGGGCAGCTTGTTATAAAGAGGAAGAACAAATGGGTAGGTCAGTGGATTTTGGATTCTCTTTTTCTTCCTCCCTGATCAGGAGTATGCAACTCTTTTTTATATCCCATCTCAGGTACTCTTATGTAATCTGTAGTTTATCTGAACAGTGTTGGAGGCTCCCTAATACATAAAAGCATCCTCTGACAGCTGCTTTGGTTCCTTGTTTGTTAATTTTAGACATGTTTGCCCCAGGTCATCCTGTGTCTAATGCTGGCTGCCAGACATTGCGAAAGTGAGACGTTGCAGGAGTGTCTGAAAGCGTATCTCATCCGTGGGCCCTATGTACCTAACTGTACCCCACTGTCCTTATGCCCCAGCAGTTTTAGTCTTCCCCCAAAATGTATAATGGCTATTCAGAATCCCTCCTACTCTTCAGAATGACTCCTGTAGTCTTGGATATTGTATTCTGTGTCGGTATTTCTGCTTCTGGGTCCCCCTGGTGTCTAGAAGAGAACGGATAGACTAGATGCCTCTTCACGTCAACACCAAAAAAATGGATGATATCCATCTTAATGATTGGAAAAGTACTGATGTTTTTTATTAAATCAGAAATTCTCTTTTTCCTGCTTCTCATAAAATGAAGAGGCCACAACTGCAAGTCTTCTGGGGCTCCTAGCCTGGTTATGCTCGCTGCACGTCTCTTCACAGATAGCAGTTCGCATGAGATTTTTATCTGCTTTAATTCCAGGGACAAAACAACTAAGAGAAATAAAACAAATTCATGCTTTTCCACA